TAAATAGATTTTTCCATTGCATTATTTATTTTCGTTAATATTCTTTTGATCACGTATATATAATTCATCAGACTTATTGTATTACATAAAAATAAAAAAACAAGATTTTCTCTGTACCCTAATTGTTGATACGATGGCTGAGAATATAACATTGTTGAATAAATTTTAAAACTGTTTTTGAAAAGACGCACGTTTATCGCTCGTAAAGATCCGACTGTCCATCTTCATCGCATTCGATTTAAGCGAGTTCGAAGTTGCCTCGCGGAAATTGATCGAGCATCGATCTCCATTTAGTGATTTTTACAAACATGCGCATCTCGCATTATGCAAAAACACGACCATCGATCTCCATTCGGTCACCCGCGCAAAAAAAAAAAAAAGCGCATACCGCTCTCCTAGTCCATTGCGATGAGGTTGTCCTCGACGAGGTTGTCCCGCATGCTGCAGGAACCTGACCATCGATCTCCATTCGATCTATTCTCGGACCAGTTCACGGTATACGATCGATATATAAATAGATCGACGTAGCTTATGTACTCGTTCAACGACTCGCGCGCGTGTTTGTTCCGTATCCGACGTGCTGGATGTGCGCGAGATTTGTCGATCTTGACAGTAGGATCCTACGTTCTCCCGTCAGACATATATTGTACGTACATCGGCATCTTTTGAACGTGAGACCCATTCATTTCCGCGTCATGTCATTTTATTCGCGATACGTATGCGAACGTAACCCGCCCACGTACTGCGGTTTGAACTTGTATGTGAAATACACGTTCGATAATAATCCATGGACATACGAGGACAACTATACCCGTCGTTAAAAAAAATCGATCTAATGGTTCTATCGCCATTCCCGAGCATTCTATAATATCCTCGTTTATCATCGAAAGCATGCGTATAAAGAGCTTTACATCAACATTCCACGATATTTTAAGAAACAAGATACAATATTAAATCGATCTTCTTTTTTCTAAAAAAGATCTAATTCGAAATTAATCTGTAAACGAAAACGAATATCATAATTTTATGTGCCATTTTCTCGCTCAATATTATCGCTCGATAGTCAAATAATCTGACAATTGATCGAAAATAAATTTTGACATGTCAAAATATTTATATAAACACCATCACAAACAATTCCCCTCCTGACTTTTTATCTCGAGAAATTTTTATCCCCCGTATATTACAATTTAGCAACGTTCCCCAGTACGAATTATCTTCCGATAAACGTAAAGGGAACATTATTACACGGTGCAGGCGCGAGAAAAATATGCGTTGCAAAGTGACGACGCGCAGATAGCCCGAAGCCGCCGCGAGGGAGATAAAGAAAGAGAGGAGAGCGGAAGGGGTGAGAGGGGGGGGGGGACGTGATCCTATCGGAAGTAAAGGATGATCCTGGTTCACACAATCGTGGATCACGGTGATCGCGTCTACGCCTACGAAGTCCTGCCTTCTCGATCTCCTGCCACGGATCCTCTGGCGCTGGCCGGACTGAATTTATCCGCGCCGAGATCCTCCTGCCGGATATGCGCAACGATATACTATCGCCGCGCCGGTAATATTCGGTCTGTTCCGGTACAATGATATCGCCGCGGATCGTGCACATTTGCGGCGATAAGCAAATCGGCCGATCGCGATCTCGAGGCAATTGCTTCCAGGAGCTAACTATCGTCGCTTAATAATAAGATTTTATCACCAGGTACATTGATAGCTTAGGACGTAAGATCCAAGTAACGTATATATCATCAACGTTACATTACATTGAAAAATAAACTAGCTTCGTGAACCCTGGCATCACTGAATTTACGAGAAAAATTATTTCAATTTCGGAAACAATTAAGCGCGGAAAAAGGATGATTAATCATGGAGAATAATGAAAATACGTGTGTGACACGAACTTAAATAAATAAATAGAAATATTTCTCTTATTAAATTATTAGCAATTCACTGCATCTACACATCGAATATAAATCATGTTTATTCTGTTTGTTTTATAAACAACTGTTCCTTTTAGACGAGTCTCGGCATGTTAAGGGTTTCCGTATCCTATTCTCGATCGGCGAGAGAATACTCGTAAGACGCGAATGAACCGAAGGGAAGAAGAAAAAGATAAAGGTGGAAGAATTTTAACGCGAGAATAAGCTCCTTAGGCCAAGGTGATCGAAAGCGATATACACGAAAAGAGTAACGAGTTGGTTAACGGCACACGGTGTATTTAGAATGTCTGACAATAAAAAGGATAATAAATTCCCTGGTCGATTGTCTCGCTTCGAATTTTAAAAGGCACGCGGCACATCACCTAGACATATCGACACTTTCATTGGAGATAATTTCGAGAAATAAAAAGAGAGAGAGATTCTCTTATATAACTCGTGAATACAAGGTCTCTGGGATATTACTTTCATAGAATCGCGAAAGACGCAAAGAAGATCCTACGCATTTCTTTCGCAAAACGTAAAACTATGAAAATGATGGGAAAAAATTGAAAAAAGTGCAATTTTTGTCTCCTTACAAAGAAAGAATTTTATATCATAATATGCACGCTATTTAAACAGAACAATTGTAGATTCTTCAAAGAAAGTTAAAAATCTTGTGTCTGGAATATTTCTCATTTTAAGAAAGATATAACATGAATAGATTCGAGTACCCAAGTGCATTTTCTCGAAATTATGCGCTCGAGAGGCGTTCTCTGCGGAAGGCAACGCGGCAATCGATGTGGGTTCAACGGTTTTGTTAACCTCCCGGCGAAAACGAAAGTCACCATGTGCAGCAAGTCCAAGAGAGACACAGCGGCAACATTAGCGAGCGGTGATCCTCGGGATGCTCTCTCGCCGGAGGAGGTTCGTGGCGGACGACCTCGATCGAGGACACTCGCCTGGTGAGAGAATCGCGGATGTCCTTTCGAGCTTTCGCGTTACATCAATCGCGCATTATGATGCAAAATCGCATGATGTAACGCCGCGTCTGCCAAAAAGCGCGTATTTTCGGCTACGGATATTCGTCCAGATTAAAACTTTCCTCCCATTTTCGATCTCAATTTTTTTACATTTAAGGATTTTGATCAATTTAATTTATAATGAGAATCCTCCTTTCTTTATTTGGTATCTCAAATAAACAGTGTACAATTTTTCTTACAAGTTTAAAAGAAAAACTTCCGGCGAAATTTATAAGTTAAATACTTTCGAACAAAAGTAATATTACTGCTTCAAGTATCAAAGTCGGGTTGAAAATTAAGATCGAAAGTGTGAGAAAAATTTCTCGATTCAGGTCACGACACGTCAAAATTTTCGATCTCAATTTTTTTACATTTAAGAATTTTGATAAATTTAATTTATAATTAGAATCCTCCTCTCTTTATTTGGTATCTCAAATAAACAGTGTACAATTTTTCTTACAAGTTTTCTTACAAAAGAAAAACTCCCGGCGAAATTATAAGTTAAATACTTTCGAACAAAAGTAATATTACTGTTTCAAGTATCAAAGTCGGATTGCAAATTGAGATCGAAAGCGTGAGAAAAATTTTTCGATTCAAGTCATGACACGTCAAAATTCGTCTTTTCTACTCTATTGGCAGAAGTAGATGTATCTTCGCTGGCAAAGCTCTTACTGAAATGTCACACTCGAGTGAATCACAAACGTGATTTACGAGTCGAACGGTTATAAATGTCGCAAGTAACGTAACTCGTAATCTCCGATATTTCACCTAAATCGTCGAAAATACGGGTTTAGTAAGCCCGAGTCATAAAAAATATTAAAAATTGCGGGTCTTGCATCCAACGGTGCTTAGCTGCACGATTTAAATCACAGATCGAGCGTACGTTCATCCATCACGATTGCTTCTCGATCGAAGTTTTCAGTCAAATCTTGACACGTACATTCAGAAATCGAATAAAAAAAAGACACGGAGAAATGCGAAAAATCGCAAAGATAAATTTTGCAAAATACACATGTGTACCAGTTTATAAATCAAACTCACAATTTCTATCGCAAAGCTTTTTGTCTTCTCTCGCGTCCGCTCGATATCTAACATTTAACTTCAATTGCGTTCTATATATCATCAAAGCAACACAATCACATGCTAATATATCGTGCAGAACTACCAACTATTATCATTGCAGAAATCAATATTTAAAGACAATTACGTTGCTAATGTGCCTCGACGAACTATGTACATGCATGCTAGTCGATACTTCGCCGAGATATACAACGAGGAAATCTAAAACTATGCGCCGCCAGTCTCCCCATTCTGTATTACAGATAAATCGTAATATATTCGCTACGAGAGAGCTCTACGAGTTGCGAGGAATGACATAAGAGGCTGTAAAATTCAATACATATTTCCATTTCCCCAACAATCCTTCAACTTCAAACGGGCCGAGTGCTTGTTTTGTTATTTAGTTTATGAATATTCAGTGAATTATTATACGAAAAAAAGAAACAGACAGGGAAAAATTGTTGATTAACCGTTGCTACGTAACCATGGCTTGTTAGGCAAAATGCATAAAAAAAATCACTTTACGTAACTCCACTACCATAACCAGATTGTATAACAAATGTGCAACGTGACAGCAACTTTCTCTGCAAAGTCACTGAATCAAAAGTTAATAAAGCGACGTCACATATGTGTATGAAAAAATACAATTCGATTTGTAAAACAATACCAACGTGTCGCTGAGAAAAATCGATAATTTGCATGTAGAAATTAAATACCGCTATTAATTAAATCCGTTCTATATAGAAACCTTACACGTGACTATTAAAGCTGAAAAAATACGCTGTACGTTAACAGTGACAAATGTATCGTTTAAAAAAAAAAAAAAAAAAAAAAAAAAAAAAAAAAAACACTCCGGCCGTCATTCCTTTTAGAATCGTAGCTGGATCGTCTCTCGTCGCTATGCAAATGGACGCAAAACGACAAATACAAAAGGGGGAGGGAGAACGACCGATCGACGAGGAACGAAAGGCGTGGTCGCATGCTATTAGTAATAGTGAAGACGTACCCTGTACCAAGTGGCCACCTGCGAGGCGCTCGGAAGGGGTGGAGAAGCGGTGTGGTTTATCCGTAACACGAACCGAAGATGTGGAGGGCGGTGGAGGGCCCGAGAGAGGCGCGTTTTTTTTTGCGCGCGGTATTTGCGGTATTCGTACGAAGGGGAGGTGTACGCGCGTTCGTAGATAGGGCCCCACACAACACACGAGACGATAGTAGCGGCACAGGTGTGGCGGTTGGTGGTGGTTGGTGGCGGGTGTGGAGTGTATTTCGCCCCCGTGCAGGGTGAGGCAAAAGCAAAAACAACAACAACAACAACACCACAGGTCAGAAGATACACGGTTATCGGCGATTACGCGTGACAAAATATATGTATATAAATCTCTATACACATGTATAATAAACGTATGAATAATACGAATGCAGATACATATCATATATGAGATGTCGTCTCAGGATGAATTGGAGGAGCAATTATTTGACATGTTAATTTTTTTTAATTTACAATAATTTATAACGGAACAACGTATCTCGTATATATCGCGCTAGTATTAGCCCTATTTAATTATTTGCATAAATGTTTAAAAATGATCGTCGAATTCATCCTGAGTGCAAACCATAAATATTTGATGAGTAAATATAACTAAAAGTACAAAATATTGGATAGAAAGAAAAAAAAGAGAATAAAATACTAGATCGAACTGGTATCAGAGTACACGTTTTATCTTTTTATATGTTCATACAAACAAAAACACGTAATCCTCATGTATAATCCAATAGATGGACCGTACACTAGAGTATCGCGGCTTTAAATCACTTTAAATTTTCTTCACACGTATCTGATACCAAGATCGTGGATGATATACACATACTTTTGCTGTTACAAAGAAATCTATAAATCAATTTGACGGAACATGAGAGAAATAAAGAAATAATTCGCAGAGTCGGCAAGCCAACTCTACGAGGGAAACTAGAAAAAAACAGAGTGAAGCGGAAAAAGAAACGAAAATATTGAATGAGCAGCTGGTTCGTTTTTGGCGAAAGAGGATTTAAACGAGGACATATATCGGGGTTTCTGTGCTGTACCTCCTGTGTCCCGGAAGGCAAGCATGTGGGGCAGAAAGACGACACGCGTGAAAATTCTTGCGTGACAAAGAGCAGAAGAGAAAGAGAAAGAAGGAGAGAGGAAGAGAAGGAAAGACAGAGAAGGAGGATGGAAGACAGAGCGTGACGGCTTCACAGAAAGCGAAAAGCCACACACATATTATCGATATTCTAGTCTCTATTTCGCTCTAAACAAGAACACTGTATGCGTGTCCATTCTCGGCACGCCTCGGCAACAAAGTGCATCTAACACGTGCTCTTGTGCGGTCGTTAAAGTTCTCGAGAGTCGAACGAGAGCACGACGAAAGCGAGTACTCGGGATTCAAAGGCGATGGCTATCGGATCGTGCAATATTGTCGACCGAACCGAACGAAATTTCTTTGAAGTCGAATAAAAGAAAATTCAATGGAAAAGTAAAATTACAGTTGAATAGTTTACTGCAACGATGATGTAACCTACTTTTTAAGAGAAATGCGAGAAACAATCTAAATATAAATCGCACTTTAAAATTGATTAATTAAATTTACAAAAAATTAAATTAAAATAAATTTTAAAAAATACAAGTATCTTACGTAAATTTTTGGAGCATGTTCCGATAGAAGTCTTATTGTATAAAGAAAGAGCTTCGATATTCTAAGATAAAAAGGAAAAGCAGAGGGAAAGATTCAGTCCGATTATCGTCTTTGAATCCGGCGTATACTCGTGACTCTCGGCGGTCCCGTGGGACGATTCGCCAGCAGAAAGCAGCAGAAGAGAGACTGGAATCTCGCTCTCTCCTCGCCTCGAGAATTCGTCATTACTCGCTCTGGCGGCTCTTAATTTCGCGCTGTCTGCAATCTAGCGAAATCGGCATGTAAAGCGCGTTGCTACCTCCGCTCTCAGTGCGCAACATTGTGCGTTGTACTTTTTGCCGCCCGAGGAACTATGAGCGGTTTCGCGACGACGAAGAGGACGGGCGAATGGGAGGAGAGGAGCGGAGAGTCAGAGATAGATAGATAGAGAGAGAGAGAGAGAGAGAGAAAGAGAGAAAGAGGACGGGCGGAGGGAGCGTCCTTCGAAAAAAGCCTGATAGAGTCCTTGGGGTCCGACGTGGTCGGTGCGCGTGCGCGAGAAGCGGATGCACGGTGATAAATGACAGATCCGATGGGGTTCGACCGTAATCGGCGATTAATCGATACTCGGCGATCCTCGGTGAAATATACACGCGACCGCAATTTCCAGCGGGAACAAATCGCCCCGGGTGGCGCAGGTACGAATTATATTATACCACGCTCGCTCTCCGCCGAGAGATCGCGGGCGAATTTCTCAACGAAACGCGGCCGGCTCGAGGGAACGCGCGAGAGTATGTACGGGAGAGACCCCGACTCCGCTTTGCGGAATCTTTTTCTCCTTCTTTCTCTCTCACGCGCGCCACACAACTCGCGCTAAATCGGGGTTACGAATTACATTTACCGGCGCGCTTTCGATCGCGGGAGAATTTCTCAACGAAATACGTGTAATTATCGTGCGAAGGACTCCGGCGCGAGCGCACGTCCACGATGGAGACGGCAAAACGAGAATCCGCCACGGGCTTCATAAATTTCCGACGTAAGGATCGTCCCGGCCAGAAATAACACGCGGGTGAAGGTACGCGGCGCGCGGGATTTATTGCCGCGAAAGAGAATAATGCGTTCCGTTTTCAATTTCTCCCCCTCATCTCTTCCAACGCGCGCGCAACCTGCCTGTCTATCCGTCCGTCCGTCCGTCCGTCTGTCTTACGCGCTATCGAGCAGCCGGGAGATAAATTTTAGTCTGGGAGTGAATCGTTCGATCGTCGTTAAGAGCACGTCGATGGTAAACCCTCCCCCACCAAGCTCAACAGGCTATTTTCAAGGCTGTTTCCCCCGGGATATATTCAGAATATATCGACGAGAACAGTTCCTCCGTTACTTGTACGAGGAACCGTCGTCGCTCGTACCTTGGGCAAGGACGCCAGACATTGCTGCTTCACGTCCCAGACCAGCTGATCCTTCGGGAACTGCAGACACTTGCTGACGTAGAGTTCGGGCACGTGAATTCGAGCGAGGAGCATACCCTCGTTGACGGGGGTGTTTTCCGCCGCTGCGAGCGCGTCCTCCGCATTTTGCTGGCCCTGCGGCGTCGAGCCACCCTGAGGACCGATGGTTGCCTGAGTCGCGCTGCCGGGTGAATTTTGCTGCTGTTGTTGTTGAGGCGACTGCTGCTGGGACTGTTGCTGCTGCGGCGACTGCTGCTGCTGCTGCTGCTGCTTTGGTCCCGCCTCCATTGCGAGGAGTTCCTCGCGGTTCCTGAGGATTCCACCTTCAGTAGCTCACATCTGAAACGAGAGCGTTGCAATCATTGATAAATGTTTTAAATAATTCAGCATTTTTTTACTGGAGAAAAGGGAGAAATAAATAGCATTTTAATAATTTAGTAATGAGAAATTTTAATAAAATGTTAACACCTAGAGGAAATATTTTTTATTTTAATTTACTCCCGTCAAAATGCTAAAAGATTATGTAAGTTCCTAGAAATTTACATGTTCTTTTACACTTTCATTATCGCGTTAAAACCTTTTCGAAGTCGACAAAGTGTTAAAAAGTTATGCAATCATCAGTTTGTGGAAGTTGGCAGAAAAATCTGATGACGCGATATTTTATCGTCTTCCGATTTCTTAGTTGATGTAATCGAGGGACCTCGAATTTTTTTTCACCGTTCAACTTTTTGCTTCTCCAAAAGACGTCGAGCGGCCAAAACCAAAACGATTTAATCGTCAATCATTTTTTATTCTTATTTATTCCCACGATCCCTCGCATCGTCGAGAATTCTTTCGAGCGACTCGCAAAAAAATAAAATTTCTTTTCCGACGCAATCGCGACGGCGGAAGAAGATAAATAAATAATCATTTTTCGGGATCGTCTTCCGGCAGAAATATGGGTTTGTTAACGAGCGTGTAAGTGCCGTAAACGTACTGTATGCAAAAGACCCGACGATGGTCGCGCGAGAAAAGAAGATAATGCGCTTCGATCGGGGAAAAAAGACTCGAGGAGAGGAAATTAAAGCGGCGAAGGATTCGCCGTTTATGACCACGACGAAATATAACGGTAAAGGACGGACAGGATTACCGCAATGGAAATAAAGAAACGGCGCCGAGACGCCGTGCTGGCGATTTTTAACGCTCGTAAAAGGCGTTTTATGCGCCTCGCGCTGCGCGATTTTCTCTTCCTCCGTGTCACTCGTCTATTTTTTTTCTTCGCATTTTCATTTATTTATTCCTTCTTCTTCTCTTTTCTTGTTTCCCGATGCGTAATCAGAGATCCGAATCGAGGACCGAAGTTTTAAAAGCCCCGCTCGCTACCGCAACAAGCGTACGTCCCGACAATCGTACAAGAGCGCGCCTCGCTCGGGTAGAGAGACGACCGTAATTTATATAACGCCAGGAATGACTTTTCTTCCATACCGGGGGCCGTGGGGAAAAGAATGACCGATCCGTTCGAGGCGCGAGACTCATCATTTTGAATTGATTATGCAAATTAACCGCGCGCTCACCTTCGCGACTCGACATACGTGCGCAGGGCCGGGCCCTCCGTACTGGACGTAACACTCCCCGCCTCCCCTTCTCCCTTCTCGTGTCTCTGTAACGCTGAGAATGAGAAAAATACGCGCTGAGAGAATTAATTCTCGCCTTTACCTGCGTAAAGTTAATCTATGCAGGTATCAATTATATTCCGATATTTAAATAAGAGAATAAATGTAGAAATTTATTAGAGAAACAATTTATATGATAGAATAATGTATACGCTGTGAGTATTGTAATATGAATATTAAATATAATAAAACGCGATACTCTCTTCTTCTCCTAAAAAAAATCTATATCCCGACAATATTTTTAAAAGTAATATAATTAATATAATATTTAAATATAATTAATAATTAATAATAAATTAATAATAAATAAAATAATAAAATTAATATAATATTTAAATATAATTAATAATTAAGCGTTTAATTAATTTAACTCCCGATTGTGCATCCATCGTACATTTGGCGCTCTTAAGCTGCAGGCTCGAGAGCCTCCGAATCTGAAGAATCTACGATATCCATAAGCTCTCGAAAGATAAGATGGAACGATGTTTGATAATCTCGGAGTATCCTTTCGAATCATCATCGGAAAGATTTCCATGAACGAGCCTCTGATAAATGGACTTCTGTCCTTCCTCATCATCGTGATGTACAGGCGGTGGTCTGGCATGATATACGTTTCGTCGCGTAGCGGACGAGCAGACCAAGCGCGTTCACCGCCACGCGATAACGCGCGTTTCGCCGTTTTATAATTCCTCCTCCAACCTGTCGGATTAATCACCGACGATAACTGACGTCTTAACAAGCGCCGCGCGCGTGATCGCTTTCACTCGAAAGTCTTCAACCCGACGAAAGTTGCCGTCGCCGACTTTTATTTCGCAACTCGCGTTGTCCTACACGCGGAGCTTTTGCACCGTGAACCGTGTAATCCTGCGATTAAGGCGCGGTACTTGCGTCATCTTCGGTAATGGAGTGACATGGGAACTTTACGATACGCCGACGTACACAGGGTGTCTGAGAAATTGCTCCATTTCTTCATTTTTCCTCGGCGAATGTAAAGTTTTCTCTTAAATTGATTGCTCGCCTTTTATTAAATTTTAAAAAATAACTTTAAAAAATAAAACTGAAAGATTATGGTAAAAAAATTTAATTAAAATTATTTATAAGAATATAATTTCATTATTTATATTTATTATTATATTTATTTTTCTCCTCTCTCTCTCTCTCTCTCTTATTTGATTCAAAGGATTTGCACGATTTAAAGTGTGTACATTTCGTTGCGAGAAAATAATTTTACAGATTCCTCAGAATGAGATTATATATATCTTACGAATGTTTCTTTATGCATAAGCGAGGGAGAAAATTGGAGTAAAAGGATTCCATGAAAACGAATGGAAGGAGGAAAGATGGAATTCTGGAGGGTACAAGTGCGAGACGTTAGGTGCTATGTGAGGAGAAGTTTGATGGAAACCGCAGACGCCATTAAACGTAACCGTCTTGTCGGGGGAGTCCACGGACTACGTTAAAACTTTAAATAACCCACTGACCACACTGTACACGTGTGTATATAACTTATGTTTCGAGGACAATGCGCTGGAAAGAAATCCGAAGGTCGCATTCGTCAAATCAACGCGAGATTTTAACTATTAAATCATAAATTCATTCCACACGATTCGAGATTTTTGCATCCTCTCTCAAGTTTTCGTAAAAATTTTAGAGAAAATTTACCGCGAAATAAAATTTTTTTACATATACTATTTATGTATAGTGTTTTTTTCCATGATATAATTTAAAAATTTGAAAAAATTATGTGTAACCTAACTATATTTTTATTATTTTACGTAATACAAATTCATATTATCATAAAATGTTTTTGCACCCTTTCTCAAGTTTTCGTAAAAATTTCAGAGAAAATTTACCGCGAAATAAATTTTCTTACATATATTATTCTTATGTATAGTGTTTTTTTCCATGATATAATTTAAAAATTTGAAAAAATTACGTATAACTACATTTTTGTTATTTTACGTAATACAAATTCGTATTATCATTAAATGTTATTTAATTACCCAATCAACGCGGGGAGAAGGGATGTAGCGTGTGATGCAGTTTTCACAGTTTTCATCGCATTGTTCGCAAGTTACGCATGCGATATTTCACAGTAGATTATAATAGTTGCGACACATATATACACACACAACACACACACACACATTTGCTACTTTTTCCAAGTGACGAATCGATCATCGCCGGCCCGATGGGGCTATCCGGCGAAACCGGTAGAGAAGAGGAGGACGATACAGAAGAAGAAGAAGAAATAGAAGAAGAACAAGAAGGGAGGCTATAAGAAAGATAATAAGAGGGAACGCGAAGAGAGACGATGATGAACCGAGGAGGGGAGGGAGGGTGGGCTTATGGATGCGTATAGATGAACGCGTAGTGGACGCGTAGTGGACCTATGGGTGGACTGACCGACGGACGGACGGACAGCAAACGCATCAATGACAAGACGTAAATCATAGTTTTATGACCCGTCTTTATGTGGCCCTTATTCGTGGCACTCATCGGTGCAAGAGAGCCTTTCGGATTTTTCTGTCTGGCCACCCTATACTTGAATGTCCAGGGCCGTATCGATTACCATCGATCGTGCAAGAGGATCATTTTGTGCTTTTCAGAAAATGATCCTTTATAAGGGAATTAATGGAATCTTACTTTAATCTTACTTTAATTATTTTAATTTATTGCCAACGGTGAAATAATGTTGTACAGCATCCTTGATGTTTCTTGAAAATGAATGTTATATATCAACAATGTTCGTGTACATGGTCTCCTACGTGGCGCACATGTGAAATCAACGACGGCATTTAACTTAATTGCAACGTAATAAATTACAAATTCTTGTTTTTCTCGCACGCGACATGAGTGTGTGAAATCACGAGAGCATGAAAGGACGATTCGAATCAAGTTCTTTTGTTCTTGGAATTTAAATATCGGGACTTTTTGGAGATGACACATTCGCTCTTACTTTCCTCATTTCGCATCAACACAAGCGATTATAACGTTTCGAAACGAGATTTCGGCAAAATTTACACGCACGAAACTATCAAACTTTGATCCGCTCTGGGCTCCGTCCCTGGCAACGCACGTATAAGTGCGTATATAACAGGTACCAGCTGCGTGGGCGTCGGTTTACGGGTTTGCTTTCAAGTGACCGTACCTTAATTCGCACGGCGGTTAACAGTGTGTCGTGCTTAACGGTGATCCCGAAAAGAGAGGAGAGGCAGCAACGAGGGAGAGAGAGAGAGAGACGAAGAGAGGGGGAATTAACAATTTTAAAAAATCCGGGAACTGCACCGCGGTGGAAATATAATCCTGCGACAAAAAAGGGAGGAGAAAAAGAGGATGGGTACACACGAAGGCAGCGAAGGACAGCGCGGGGTTAAGGTACGACCCTGACATTCTGGATCTCGCGGACGTGGGTGTGCGCACCGCGCAACTTTGTTGCTGCACTTTTTCGAGAGCATCTTCCTCCCTCTCTCTCCGCGTTGCTCCGCGAGCGGAGCTCGGCCACATTATGCGCGCTCGCGCTCGCATAAAGAGAACGGCGGAGACCTTGGAGCGGAGAGAGAGAGAGAGAAAGAGAGAGAGAGAAGTGCACGACGACGAGGGTTATTTTTCAACACATATACGCTACGACGCCGCGGAAAGTGAATCGCGCCAAATAGTATAACTCGACAATCGCGCCTCCCTTTG